ATGCATCCATATAGAAATGTCTATTTCTTGACGATTTTTGACATCAACAAAACCATCCAAAGAGATCTATTCGAACGAAGTGTTAAAAGAAATGGTAAAAAGAAACAAAGAATGATGTGGCGTGTAAGGTTTCATCCAATTCGAGAGATTTTCTTTGGCTGCAGGGCTCGAGGATTAACAGTGATTTATTTACATCGAGAGAGAGAGAGAGAGAGAGATTCATTTCATTTTACTGATGTGTTTTGTCTGTGGGGGCAGTGAGAGAGATTATAAGCACTTGAAACTCTTGACATGTCTTGTTTCTATTTTTTTCAAATCTATGCTTCAAACTTTTGAATAATCATTAGTATATATGGGGTCTCTTTTTTTAAATTTGCCTTCTCTTTTTACTGCAACATTAATTAATCTCAACAGAACATAGAGACGTAGTGATAACCCTATCAAGAATTGAACATCTTAATTAAGTAATGGACTCGACCAATCCTATTCATTTCGAGCCAAGATATCATGTTATATTTTAAGAATAATGTTATCTATAAATAAGTAGTTACATAATGATTTATATACTGATGGGGTATCAAAATCAAAATGAGAAATAATTTTTTTAAAAATTTTGATCCAATTATGAATCACATATCACCTGTGCTTTTTTTGATCAGAGGGTGGCGACATTCTTGGCCTATTAGACCCTGCATTAGATAGACAGGCTGATGGAGAAGAGGTATCGAAAATATGTAAAGTTGCTAGTTGGTGCATACAAGATGAGGAAAATCTTAGGCCATCAATGGGCCACATCGTTCAGATTCTTGAAGGCGTCTTGGATGTGAACTTGCCTCCAATCCCACGATCTCTTAAATTGTTCGTCGAAAGTCAGGAACAGATAGTGTTCTTCACCGATTCCTCCTCCGGCCAGAGTTCTCAAACGCTTCGCGGACTTCCTCTCAATCCAAGAGAACCACATCAACAAATTAGTGCGTTAAGATTGAAATAATTATAATTGTTATACGTATATTATTCCTCTGATTGGATAACTACAAAATTTAAATAATTTGTTACGCGTATTAGATAGGTGTATATTCAACCTT